CCAAGATAAAAAGACTACGGGGAAAAGTCAACACGGTAAAACGACCAAGCAGGAATGGGCAAGGCAGGCGGGCCAACAGAGAGGACCCAGTCGAAAGGTGGCTAAGAGTTCGCACTGCCATTTACCACGGTGTTCAAAAAAACCGATTCTACCGAATTCTCAGTGAAATTACGCAGTGAACCTTTCGTCCAATCGCCAAGCAAATTGGGAGAAGCAAACAAAAAGACTATGACGAGTGGTCCCGATGCACCTTCTATGATGAAAAGGGGCATCGCACTAAAAAATTGCACGCCGTTGAGGCAGCCATTTGGAGGAGTTAGTGGCAGCAGGGCACCTGGACCAGTACATAGAAGGAGGGACACAGCTAGCCCTCCAAAACCACAACATCCCAAACGGATGCCGATCGACGCTCCACCTCAAGGTGTAATTAACGTAATACATGGAGTATTTGACCTGAGCGGGGTATGTGAGCTCAGGGGAATGCCAAAAAGGCTGAGTACTTAAAGGAGGTATTAAGTGCACAACCTACCAATAAAAAAGGGAGAATGGAGGCCACAAATATCATATCTTTTCTGACAGAGACCTGGAAGGATATATTCACAAGATGCACTGGTTGTTACTCTACGCATCAAGATTTCGACGTCAAGCGGATTTTGATCGACCAAAGGAAGCTCGTGTGAGATAATGTATTACGAAAACCTTCAACAACTGAAACTAGAAGACAAAGACTTGGCACCAGCAGCATCTTCCCTAATCGGATTCAACCTCAATTGCCAGAGTGGCCAGTGGGCAGATAATCCTCCCAGTCAAGGCAGGAACCATGACGAAACAGGTGGAATTCTGGGTATTGAAAGTCCCTTCCACTTAACAACATAATCTTGGGAGACATGGTTGCATGCCATGCGCTCGGTAGCGTCAACCTACCATCAAGTATGCGGTTCCCCAACGAAGCCGGAGTGATAGAAGAGGTCTTTGAAGACCAATTATGTTCAAACAGTGCTTCGTCACAGTAATGGCAGTCGCGCTACAAATGCTATATACAGATGGTGGAGGAGCCTGAGAGCAAATGAACATTTGCGGACGTTGGCAAGGCGCTGAACAAGCGGTGGATAGACTTGGTTATCGAGTAAGATAGGATGAAAATGACCCACCCCGGAAAAGTTCTTTTGGCTCGGCCTCTCCTTGTCTAGCACTGAAGAGAATAGAGGTCAGGAATCCAACCTCCTAACATCGAAGTGTTTGCTTTGGTACACCGTATGACATCCTGGCGATTGATCCAAACTTCATCTGTCACCACTGAGCGTCCATCCCAACTGCCCCGAACCAGTATTATCAGCGCACTCGCAGATCAAGCACGTCCACCATACCGAGGATAAGTGCAGAGGAAGTGGAAATCTGCTGGAGGCAGGGCTATCAAAGAAGTGCACTACCCCAGGTGATCTACCCAAATTACCGTAGTCAGTAACCAAAGAAGAATGAAACAACTGGCGGCCTGCGTGGAACTTACAAACAATTCAACAGGCATGCCCAAAGGACAGCTTTCCTCCCCCTACTACGGGAAGGACCAACTGGTAGAACCTGACAGCAGGGACACAAATCGACTTAGCTTCCTTAATGCGTACAGAGGTTACCAAGTACAGCGCTACAGTGTTTACAGGTTGAGGAAAAAACCGAGATCACCGTTTAAACACTTGTTGAAACTTGAGAAAAAGTTTGCAAAGTTAACATTGAGTAGTATGTGTTTCGCACTTGTTAGAATTTATGAAAAGTTTGCAGGTTAGTATCTTGCCGAAGTAAAAGTTTTTTATACCCAAGATATGTAACCCCGAGAAGATTGCATAAAGGAGGCAAAGTATGAAAGACATACAAAATATTCTAAGTATAGAATCGTGCAAGAACAGTTAGAAGAAGATCAAGACAGAATTCATGGTGATTGACACGCCCTCGCCATACAATATCATCTTGGGAAGGCCATGGTTGCATACAATGAGGGCAGTTCCCTCAACGTTGCATCAACTATTGCGGTTCCCCACAGAATGTGGGATTAAAGAAGTCAGAGGAGACCAACTGCAGTCAAAAAATTGCTCCATGGCAGCAATGAAAACTACCTGCAAACATTCAGGAACCAGGGAAGGCAGAGATTGAAGACGAAGACATGGAGGTCCTAGATGATGTCGGCAAGAAGCCAGCCAAAAAGAGTGAAGAGACACTGAAGAAAATCCTCGTCCAGGAGGGCAACAAAGAGCGCTTCATTCAGAGAAGGAAAATTGAAATTCAAGAACAATGAGGCACATCGGCCATATGCAGCGCTTACATTATCTAAAGAACAAAAAGGTACAAGAGTACAAGCGAAAAAAAGAAGGAAAAACTTCAAAAACTGAGATGATGCTTAACCGAAGTTAAGCCGAGATGATGTTTAACTGAAGTTAAACTGAGGTGATGTTTAACTGAAGTTAAATTGAGATGATACTTAACCGAGGTTAAACCGAAATAATGTTTTACACTTGTTGAAATTCTGAGAGAATTTACAAGTTAAAGAGTGCACAAAGTTAAATATCGGCAAAAGATTCGCCGGAGTCAAAACGTCGTTTTGATTAGAACCACTAAGTACACGCCAGAAGTGGTGACCAGAATTGTGAAAGGAATAAATGCTTCAAGAAACAGCAATGATTGCAAACAAAGGCCAAGAGAAAGAGGGTCTAAAGAGGGTGAATTAAAAGTTTTAATACATCGGCGAAAGAAGAACACATCAGGTCTGCGACTACAGCACGAAGCCCACCTCCCTAATGTGATCCTAACGTTCACATTAGGGGGCAGGGAGAAGGTGTAGAGGGAAAGAATGATAATTAAGGAGCAAAGAATGTTAGCACTTGATGAAATTTTTGAGCAAATTACAAAATGAGTTAACCAAAGATTATGAAGTCTACCACTTGTTGAAATTTGTAGCAATTTACAAGTTTGGTAGCTGAAACCATTCCTTAACACTTGTTGAAATTTGTAGCAATTTACAAGTTTGGTATAGCCGAGATAAACACTGAAAGACGTTTCCGAGATATGATCAACCGAGATGACCAACTAGCTTGTTAAGAGCTGAGAAGGTTGGCAAGTACAAAAATGAAGGCCTTAAAGAACTAGGGACTGAAAGCAAGAACGTCGGACTAATCTGCTTCGACGGACGACAATGGTTCAGCCTCGGCAGTCAGTTGGAGGAGCTTCTCTACCGCTACCTCGGCATCAATTTTAAGAAGGAAGCAAACTACTCGGCATCAGCGGTAGGTTGTGTCTCACCCCCAGAAGACAGTTGAAAAGAACTTCTCAGCAGCCTTCTCAGCCACGAGCTCAGCATCAACCTCCTGAAGAGTTTGATTAAAGCTCTTCTTGGCGATTGGCACCTTGGAGTTTTGAAAGCAAGGATTGAAAGCAAAAATTGGGAAAAGACACAGAAAACAGAAATAAGAATGTAATTCATAATCAAGAATGGTGATGAAGCTATCAGGAAATCAAGACAAAAAGATTGCACAAGTGTCTCAAGCCAAGAACAGTGGCAGACATCAATAGATGTGTGAACAATGTGTATTCAAGAAGATGATTTGGAAACAATGGGTAAAAAAGAAATGGTGATTAACAATGAAGCAGAGCTTCTTGGAAAGCAACAAGAAATAAAATCAAGAGGAACAGTGGCTTACCAGAAATAGGGAAGCCGGAATGAGAATTACCGAAGTCTGACGACAATGACAGAATGACGTAAAGCTTCACCGGAGGAGAGAAACGAAGACAGTTGGTATTCAAGAAGATGATTTGGAAACAATGGGTAAAACAGCAATGGTGATTAACAATGAAGCAGGGCTTCTTGGAAAGCAACAAAAAATAAAACCAGGAGGAAAAGTGTCTTACCAGAAAAAGGGAAGCTTGAATGAGAATTGCCAAAGTCTGACGACGGATGCGAAAATAACAGAATCACATAAGCTTCACCGGAGGAGAGGAACGAAGACAGTTGCAGAAGCTTGAAAGCTTAGAACAATGATGGATATAAGCAAAAGCGCTAGAAAGAGAAAAAGCCAGAGGATTAAATGAAACAAAAAGGAGAAGAATAGTCAAGAAGACGACAAAGTTCAAAACTAAAGCCAAGTACACAAGCACTAAGTAAGTATGTAAAGAACAAGAAAGTAATGAACCAGACATGATGCTAACAACAGAAAGCGGATATGACAAAGAACAGTTCCAGGCATTTTAGCAATAAGAAATCAAAAACTTGAAGACAGACGAGAACAGAAGGCAACAAATGGCAAATAAACAGATTCAAAGTAAATCAGAAGAGTTATGAAAGATTGAGCTTAATAGCGAGTAAAAAGTTTATGAACCTACAAAATGAAATGAACGCCGATATGAAAATCACCGGAGTCAAATAAATGACTGGAAATTGAGAACTCACCAGAGAGTGTGAGTGGAGCAGTTGCAAAGCATCTTTAAAGAAACTCTCTCTCGAACCATAAACCTTGGCTAGGAGGTGCGATCTCAAGTAGCCTGGAAGGCATGAATCTTGATACTTGACAGAAGTGGACAG